TGAATGCAGTAACATTCCAAATTCCAAAGAAGAGATAGCGAGCCCAGATTTAGTTAAACATTATGCACATTTAAGTGAACTGGAATGTTTCATTCCACCAATACAAGATGGCTGTGACATATCTTTGCTTATCGGTAGAGACTTGCCTGCCGTACATCAGGTGTCAGATCAACGTATAGGCAGTGAAAATGCTCCATTTGCTCAGCGCCTTCCAATGGGGTGGGTGATCATTGGTGAAGTATGTGTTGGAGAGGTACATGCGTCAACAGACATTAAAGTGAACAAGATAAATATCCTTCGTAATGGTAGACCCACCTTACTAGACCCATGCAAACAGTCAGTGACGTGTACGATTGAAGATTCTTCAATTTTTGATAAAACTCCAGATGATGACAAGGTAGGACTTTCACATGAAGACAGGACGTTCCTAAAATTAATGGACAAACAATTTGAAATGAACTCTCGAGGCCAATGGTCAGCACCATTCCCCTTTAAGACTTTAAGATCGCGACTTCCGAACAACAAGGTACAAGCTGAGAAGAGAGCTAAAATATTAGATAAGAATCTCCACAGGGATATTATCAAACGCGACCATATGATGACCTTCATGACAGGTATTTTAAATAAAGGTCATGCAAAAGTAGCGCCACCTATACAAGAAAATGAGGAGTGTTGGTTTCTACCACTCTTCGGCGTATATCATCCCAAAAAGCCAGATAAGATAAGAGGAGTATTCGACTCATCAGCAAGTTTCCATAACATTTCTTTGAACGAAGTTATGGTGTCAGGCCCTGATCTTACAAATAACCTAATCGGCGTTTTACTACGATATAGACAGGAAAAAATTGCTGTTTCAGCTGATATCGAGCATATGTTCTATTGTTTCTATGTGATACCAGAGCACCGAAGATATTTAAGATTTTTTTGGTAATGAACTTATAGAATATCAAATGTGTGTTCATGTATTCGGAAATCGACTTTCACCCTCAGTTGCAAACTACGGGTTACGGAAGGCTGTTGAAAACGCAGAACCTGAAGTAAAAAACTTTGTTTCAAAGAACTTTTATGTAGATGATGGGCTTGCGTCCTTCTCAAGCGAAGCTGAAGCTTCTACGGTTCTGAATAAAAGTAAGGAAACTTTATTGTGTAACGGAAACATTCGACTTCACAAGCTCGCTTCGAACAGCAAGGAATTCTTAACTAAATTTGATTCCAAGGACTTGGCGAAAGATTTAATTGACATGAATCTAAGTGAAGATTTGCCAATGCAGAATAGTTTAGGACTGGTCTGGGATTTGAACTGTGACAAATTTGTGTACAAGGTTTCATTACAAGATAAACCGTCTACAAGACGTGGTATTCTATCCATCATAAATGGATTATATGATCCACTCGGATTTATCGCCCCAGTTGCGGTCAAGGGAAAGGTTATTCTCAGAAACTTGTTAAGGAACAACCCCGACTGGGATGAACAGTTGTCACCAGACGTTCTCGGTGAATGGAATAAATGGAGGGATTCGTTGTATGCTCTGAATGATGTCAGTATTCCAAGATGCTATGTTCCTGATGGTCTGAATTCTCTTCAAGAAAAACAGGTGTTGGTGTATTGTGATGCATCAGAGTCAGCTATTGCAGCAGTGGCATATATCAAGGGCATTGATAAGAGTAAAAAGGAACATCATGGATTCATTCTTGGAAAAAGTAAGGACGCGCCTTTACATTGTAACACTGTGCCTCGTCTCGAGTTATGTGCTGCCTTGTTAGCAACCCATATAGCTAAGATCATTTCAGAAGAGTTAGCGATACCGTTAAGTGAATTCACATATTTCAGTGACAGTAGAACATTAACAATGAAAAACGTAGATTCTATGTCTATGTGTCTAACAGGGTGGAACGTATTAGACAAGTTTCCTTACCACAACAGTGGAACTATATACCCACTAACTTAAATCCTGCAGATCAAGGCACACGTTTCGTAAATCCCACTGATCTACAGGAAAGTCTATGGTTACATGGACCAATCGCCAAAGCTCAAGAATCGTGAAAGATAAGCGAATACAGTGGTTCTCGCAACAATGAAATATTTCCTCTGATTCAACCGGATGGGGATAAAGAAGTCAGAACAGAAGTTACAACCAATAAGTCTCAAGTTCAAGAACAAGACTGTTTAGGTTCAGATCGATTCTCAAAGTTCTCTTCATTGAAGAGACTAGTTTGTGCTATTATGGTATTGCGAACATTTGTGAAACACTTTAAGAATAGTAGATCTAAAATAACTTCTACTATTAATCACAAACTTGATGAATACAAGAACACCGAGATTTTTGTATTCAAAACTGAACAAAATGAACATTTTGCAAGTGAGATACAGTGTCGACAGAACAAGAAACATGTTAACAAGAACAGCGGTATTTGGGATTTTTAAATATCCATATTTAGATGATAACGGACTTTTACGTGTAGGTGGTCGTCTAAATAATTCGGACATGAACATTAGTCAGAAAAATCTGATAATTCTTCCAGGAAAGAGTCATGTGGCCAAATTATTGGTTTTGCAATATCATGAAGATGCTGTGTAGACACTTCACAGAAGGAGCCGTAAGAGACGCAGGTTTTTGGATAATTGGAGGCAAGAAAATTATTCGCTCTTTATTGTACAAGTGTGTCATTTGCAAAAAGTTACGTGGCAAGTTAGAGGTACAAAGAATGGCCGATTTGCCAGCCGATCGATTGATCCCAGGTCCACCATTCAGCTCAGTGGGTGTAGACACGTTTGGTCCATGGGCTGTAACTGCTCGCAAGACAAGAGGTGGTGTTGCAAATGCCAAGCGATGGGTTTTAATATTCACATGTTTAACCACACAAGCCATACATCTGGAAGTAATTGAAGAAATGTCTACATCATCTTTTATTAATGCGTTAAGGAGGCTCATATCAATCCGGGGAAATGTAAATATTTTCAGATCTGACCGTGGTTCAAATTTTATAGGAGCTACAGATCCTTTAAAAATCGATGTTGTTAATGTCGAAGACCAGAAAGTAAGCAACTTTCTTTTCAACAGAGGCTGTAAGTGGTTATTCAATCCGCCCCATGCGTCACATATGGGTGGCGTATGGGAACGTATGATAGGAATTGTGAGAAAAGTTTTAAATGGTATTATGCTGGAACATGGTAATCGAGAAATTACACATGAAGTATTAGTTACATTCTTTGCTGAAGTATCGGCTATAGTTAACTCCAGACCATTAGTACCAGTTAGTTGTGACCCCAAACAACCGTTCATTCTTTCACCAAACATGTTACTAACACAAAAATCTGGTTCATGTCCATCGTTTGACATAGGTGAATTCAATACCAAAGACATGTTTAAAGCACAATGGAAGAGAGTTCAGTTTCTATAAGATTTGTTTTGGACAAGGTAGAAAGGGGAATTTTTGTGTTGTCTTCAGCAAAGACGAAAGTGGTTAGAAACCAAACCAAACATTATGGAGAATGATATTGTTCTACTCAGAGAAGAGGATGTCCATCGTAACACATGGCCTATGGGTATAGTCGTGAATGCATTAAAGAGTAACGATGACATTGTGCAAAAAGTACAGGTTCACGTATGCAAAGATGGTAAAACCGCGGTATACACTCGTCCCATTAGTGAATTGGTAGTTTTGGTTAGTGAACAGTAACTGTTTTAATATAAATCTACTGAATATCAAATTAAGACTATTTGAACATTTTCAGTGTAAGCTAGTAAAGCTTTTATATTAACTGTTAATATTATATGTTGTTTTATTTGTCAAATGTAAATGGTTTATGTAAGTTTTGTCAGTGACAAATTATCATTGTCAGACGGGGAGTGTAGTGCATATGAAGAAAATTACTGGTCTTAATCCTAGTATGATGAAATTGTAGGTTGGAGTAATCTCCCTAGGAGAGAATGTTTTTGTGGACTCCATCTTTTGAAAAACACATGTTTTGACTGTTTTACTGTCTCTGTATGTGTTGTTATTACAACACATTAGTTTTAAACTATGATAAGAGCTGCATGGTGTAAGTGTTCAATATAATTATATGTTTAACAATTTAAATCAGATAGAAAGCTTAAAATTTTTTAAAGAAAGTAATCGTAAATCAAGTTGTTCATGCCGTCTGGTCTTGCTACAAGAAATACTGTTAAATTATTAAGTCAACTGTTACATAATGGCAACTTGGTTTGTTTATCATAGTTAAGTTATGGTTTCAGTTTGTCTCCATGTTTGTTTACATTGTTTACATGTACTTAAGAGGTTGTTTTATGTTTTATTGTAGTTTTCACGGTAAAATTGGTTCTGCAATAAAGTACAGAAGAATTGGTTTTATCGTTAGCCGATTGATTATCTGTGTCCCATAGAGAGTCATGATATGATGGATATAAATTTCATACAGATCGGTTGATAACTTTTGTCGTTAGAGCGTTCACAAGGTGCAACAAAGTGAAACAAAGGCCATAACATCAGAAGAAATTAACGGAAGTTCTTGAAATTAAATAGCTTCTTCATCTCACTAATGCAAACAACATATATCAATTTCAAAACAATCAGATGATAAATGTAGTCTGTGGAGTGTTCACAAGAAATTGTGGACGATGGACGGACGGACCGACAGCAATATACGACCACATTACTACAGACACGTTACTACAGATGCATATTTTTATTCATATCTATAATGAAAGGCATCTATCTTTTTATATATATATATATATATATATATATATATATATATGTATATAATAAATATTTTTATAATAAATATGTATATAATATATAAGTATATAATATATATGTCTATCTATCTATCTACCGGTATATCTATATATATGCCCATGTTATATATTTTACGTGTGTTGTGTCAACACATTTATTTGTGATTTTTCAAAATGACAATGACTTTGAGGAAAACATTAAATCCCTTACTTACGCAGACTTTCGACAATTTAGTCTCTAATCACGGAATATTAACTTACAGGTATAGCTAGGTATGGTTGGTCGTCAAGGTATGACAATCTCATAATGGCATCTTCCCATAGTGACACAGCACCTGACAATCTCTCCATACCTAGTTGACAGAGTTGTAGAGGGGTCATTGATCCCATATCAACACCTGAATGTGTAATGGTGGATGTTGTAGAAACACCTCCTAGACTAGACAATGATCCTGATAATGATTTTTGTTTCCGTAATAAGGTTTCGAGTGGACTTGCTCCCAATACATGTATGTTTCTTCCATGTACATCTGGAATAAAGAAAATCATAACTATCTTATCGAGAAGGTCTATAAAGCTTGTAATGCAGCTTAGATAACCTTCACATCAGGAGCTGATTCTCTCCACCGCCATCTAGACCACAGATATTTTTGTTAATTAGGCTTTCAGACTTTGTCTGAAAGACTATTGTTTTTACTAAGATTATTATTAGGCTTTCAGACTATTTTTTTTACTAAAATTATTATTAGGCTTTCAGACTATTTTTTTTACTAAAATTATTATTAGCCTATTGAGATTACTAAAATTATTATTAAGCTTTCATATGTATTACATATGAAAGCTTATTGTTTCTGTTAAGATTATTATTATTATTTTTTTTTTGTGTGTTTTATCCACAAATCGGATTTCTCAGAATCTAACCATAGGATCTTTCTGAAACTTTTACCTATCCCTCCAAAAATGGGTGGTGGCTGTTGATTAAATATATTTTCAAAACGTTTTTTTACGCATCCGAAATCACCGAATTTTACGAACGAATGCATTTGACCTACAATGCTGTAACTTTGTGACTATTTGACCTATTTTACTAAATCTTTTTTCTTTGAGTACCTTGAGACAATTACTTAAAATCTGCAGTTTCAGATTTTCGAATTTCGAAAATTCGTCGCTGTGATTTCGAACCGGTATTAATGACCAATTTGACAACTTCTTTAATAGTTGTACGATTTTCATGAAATTTAGCATGTAAGTAGATCTTACCGATGCGACTTCAAAAATATGATTAGAAATTTGCTAAATTATCTCCCCTTAATGAAATTAAGGATCAAAATTTTCAAAAAAATCATTGAAATATAGGTCAGAATGACCTATTTTTTTTTCGATACTAGACAAGTAATTACTGATTCATATACAAAATATGGAGTTTGTCGATTGAACCGGAAATGCCACCATCTTGAAACGTGAAAAGTCTAATAACTTTTGCGATATTGCACTTACAGACATGGGAGTTATATTTTCTGAATCCCTGAAGGAATGCCTAAAAAACGTTCAGAGCAGAATTTTGATTTAGGTCAACTGATGGCCGCCATTTCGAAGTGAATATAAAAAATAGCTAAAAATCGACATTTACGGTCTTCTAAACAAACACAATAGGGCATAGTATGTTCAATACGTCTCCTATTTCTGAAATTAATACATTTCAGGACAGCCGGGATACGGGTCGAATGTTTGGTATTTGAATATTTCAAAAATTCGAATTTCGCCTTTTAATTTTTCTGTGCCGACAAGGTTGCTTTGAGTTAGCTGGTTTTGACTTCACGCATGCGCTACGCTGGAACCAAAGGTACCATGAGTACCAAATTCCGGCGAGGAACTTTTCACGTTGGTACCTATGTACCCTGAAAATTTCAAGGTGATACCTGCATTTGTTCAGCTCGTTCGGCTTTTTACGCCATTTACGGCTTTAGTAATTGCGAAAAAAGTGGAATTTCGCCACGACACCGGCAGCGATTGTCCGAAAACCATGAAGTTTGGACACAATACACCCATTACGCCCATGATTTACTCCAATTTTGATCCGATTAAAAAAAAATAGTTTTAGCAAAAAAAAAAAAGATTTTCGGTCAACTGATGGTCTCCATTTGGAATTGAATATAAAGAACAGTGAAAAATCCACTTGAACAGATGTGAAAATAAACACATTAGGCCGTAATATGTTCAGGATAGCTCGGGATCAAGATCGATTTTTGGTGTTTGAAAATTTTCAAAATTTCGTATTTCGCCTTTGACCTTTTACGTGCCGACAAAGTTGTTTGCAGGACAATTTATGCCTTTTATTTTTAAAAATTTACAAATTTAACCTAAATATTCGAACAGCTAAGGTCAATCTGATTAAAAAAATATTAGTTCTGTTCAAAGTTATTTCATTTATTTTTTTGATATTTTCCTGCCACTTTTTAGTTCTTTCCCGTCATTTTCGTTTCGTGTTCTCATCCGTCCCGTTTTTAAACGGCTTGATCCATTTTTCTGAAACTTTTGGAACGGAAAGTCATTCAGATTACAGCAATCCAAGTCTCAGTTATTTCCCTTTAGTTTTCAGATTATTTTGTTGCCCGGGTGCAATGTTTCTCACTATATTTAGACTTGTAACTTCACGACTTTTTCACCGATATTGATAATTATTTTTTGTTGTTCTTTTTTCTTTTAAGATACTTGATATAATCCATGTCACGTGACGATGAATATGAAAGCTTTCATATCTGCATTTTTGAAACTTCTGTGCAGACCGGAAGTGGCCGAATTTTGAACACTAGCAATAAATCAAAAAGCGGCCGTGGTTTCGACAATTCTTGACCTATTTTAAAACAATTCACATTTTTGGAAATCCTGAATCTTTTCCGAGACAATGGCTATCTCACATTTTTGAATTTCGAACATTCATCTATGGCTTTTGTCGTTCGAAATTTGAAAATTTAAATTTTTACAAAAAAACGTTTTTATTTATGAATATTTTTTAGTCATGTTCTACACAAAATTAACAAGTCATCTGACTTGGGCAAAAATTGTGAATTTCTTTTGTCTCAGTAATTTTCCTTGGCCGCCATTGGCTCATTCAGTTTTTCAGTCCTAGATTAATTGCTCGATTTGTATAAAACAAAGTTCATATACTCCGTTGTCTCAATTGTCATTTTTTTTTGTTACCGATAGAGATATCTGTCGGCACCGGAAGTGGCTTAATTTTACCAAAAACTACAATTTTGACAGTTAGGTACCATTTTTCGAAAGCAAATATTATTTTTTTAAAAAACTGATATAACTAAAAGAGTTTGCCCTTTAAAGGCGCACAAAATGTTGGGATCGTTTTTTTTAATTTCGATTTCAATTTCGAGCAAATTCGATTTAGAGGTGAAAAAAGGTGTAAAATTGACCTATTTACAACCCATTCAGGTTTTTCAGATTTTAGAATATGTCTACGTAACTTTTATAAACTTGTAGCTATAATTCATACGAAGAAAATGTATGTTAAAATTAGTTTGTAATATAAGCAGTTACCTAGAAATGGGCAATTTTGCATAGTCACTGTTTTCGTTATTTTGCCTGTAAAATAGTCAATTATAATTGGATTTTCACAAAAGTGACACCATTTGATTCAAAAAGCAAGTATGCGTCGTATCAAATTGATTACAATTTAAAATTGACACCGGAAGTGACTCCATTTTGTCAAAAAATGCATTTTTAACTTTCAAAATCAATATTTTTTTCAACCAAGAATTATTTAATATGTATTAATAATTTTAACTTTTGGTTTACATTCACATATTAATAAAATTCATAAGGTCATATAAATTTCACAAAATTGTTTCTAACCTGTTCAGTTGCGGAGAAATAGGCGATTTTGTTCAGGTCACTTTTCAAGGTTTTTGGTCCATAAAAGTGTCAATTATTATTCGATTTTCATAAAATTTTCACTGTGTGATACCTAATGCCATTTACAATTTCATACAAGTAATTTAAGATTTTCATTATCACCGGAAGTAACGTCATTTTGGCAAAAACTGTATTTTTAGCCTTCATAACAGATATTTTATTCAAATGATTCTGATTTGTAATGTTTTTAAAATTATGATATTTGATTCCAATCAACAAATAGAATAAACCCATACGATCATACAGATTTCAGAAAATGGTTTCTAACTTGTACGGTTGCAGAGGAATTGACGGTTTTCTACAAGTCACTTTTTAAGGTTTTTGGTCTATAAAAGTGGCAATTATTATTCGATTTACATAAAATTTTCACCATGTGATGCCTTATGCCATTTCTGATTTCATAAAACTAATTGAATATTTTCATTATCACCGGAAGTACTGTACACTTACATGTAACAAATATATAAAATGAATTGATATTGCTGGATTTGGTTGATTCGGCGTCCATTTTATTTGATGTGTGCAAAGCTAGTGTGGAAACCTGTTTAATGGTTTCATAGGTACCGGAAGTGACATGTTTACGGTAACGAGGCACCGGTGAAACCATAGTCATAAAAATATTCGATATTAAAAAAAACCAGTAAAAATTGGCGCTTTTGCAAAAATCGTGATTTCACCGTCGGGTGTGACCGGATCAAAAGACCTAAAGTATCGTTTGGTAGCTCGATGAATGGGCTATTGTATGACACACTTCCTATCTGATTCCTGAAAGCCGGTTCAGTGCTGCTTGCAGGTCTAGTTATTATTATTATTATTTATCCCGGAAGCCTATTTCTCCATGATCGAAAACAGATATCGATCTGGAACCAAATATTCTATTGGGAAACCAGGTGGTGGCTACTCCTTAAAACAATTTTGAAACTTCTGCGCATACCGGAAGTGACCGAACTTTGTACTTTTTCGCGATATTGAAAATTGGCCGTGGTTTCGTCAATTCTTTACCTATTTTCAAACAAATGACATTTTCAGAAACCCTGATTCTTTTCCGAGACAATGGCTATCTCACATTTTTCAATTTCAAAAATTCGTCCTAGACTTCTGTCGTTCGAAAATTGAAAAAACGTAGTTTACAAGACATTTTTGTTATTTTTCAAAATTTTCAAATTTGACCTACATTTTTGGATACCTGAAGACCATCCAATTCCGAGTTGTCGCCTTTTATTTTTCGATATTTTTCGAATTTTGGGCCCATTCCCCAACTCTTATATTTTTTTTGAAAGGATTGTTTGATGTTTCTGAAAGTCCTGAAACATAAAGCCATATGGTCATTCTGTTTTGTAAAGCAATTTCAACAACGATCAAGAACCGGAAGTAGTCGAAATAATGTCAGGAATTTTGAAAAAAACCGTAAAAAATGAGTGCTTTTCAGAAAAACGCGATTTCTCAGTCCAATATCAACGGATATAACAAATTAAGGTATCGAGAGTTCCTCCGGTAGTCTTGTGCATGAATCCATCCAATAAGACATTGAAATGTCTGGAATAGGTAAAATAACGTACTGAAAATCGAAAAAAGTGGAAAAATTGTGAAATTTTGGAAAATG